GTTTGTTGAATATGCATATTATTATATTTGCAATAGTACCGTGATTCCAGAATTCGGATTTCTTGGTCGTTTTCGTGGATTGGCACGCGTAGCTCAAATTCAGAAAGCAGATAGCCGTAACAGGTGCTTCAAGTGCATGCTGCACACACAAATCCTACATGGTTATCCTTCATATATTTATTCAACGCTTTCTCAAATGGAGAATGGAAACAGGACAGAAGCTAATTTGCCAACAAACATATGAAACCATAGAACGCCGTCAATCATAAGATAAACCAAATTAACTGCGCCTGTAAGTGATCTACTTTGAAACGTAATTAAGTTGATTAACAGAAGGTGACAAACGCTTACAGACGTTTTTTACTAGAATGATGAATACAATAGTTGGGTGCACTTGACTCATATAAACAATACAAAAAGTGGAATGAGCCGAAAAGTGACTTGTCATTTTAGGACACTTGTTGAGAATCCCTGAGTAAATTTTCGGATGCGCGAAGTGTCTCCTCTGCAGTATCGCTGCTACACGTGTTCAGTAGTTATCCATGGAGACTTGTGGAACTCAGTCGACTTCCTGTCCTGTGCACGCTAGCGTATATTGGGTGGAGTTTTACGCCTATTTATTGTGTGCAGTGCGAGGAGAGGGCTGTCCCTCCGTGTGTGATGCACGAACATGAATAAAACTTGACCTGATTAGTTGTTGTATGTATGGTGACGCAAGTGGTAGCCGCGCAAAGAAAAACGGATGAGAAGTAGTGTGCAAGTTGTCGGCTAAGGTTGAAAGTGGGACAGGAATCGTCACGTGGTTTTGGTGTTTGTGACGCGTGATCTGATAGGTGACCTCTACATGCCTCACCAGCAAAATCCAATGCTACGAATCCCTTCTGAATCAAGCGGAGCGACTGAGTCATTCTGTTAATAAATCAAAACATCTTGTTCAAATGGGCAGGTCACCAACCACCCATGGCTTCCATGTGATTTCCAGTTTATGAGATATAGCGCGAAACTAAGTCTTATCATGCCTTGAGGTTCGTACTATTCTTCAAATGAAAGGTATGATCTATAGAATATACAACGTAACTTTCCACCTATGTTGTTATATCATTAACGTTTGTTTGCTTTATATTCTTCAGGCATTACAAACCTGATGAGATTTTTAGTGAACTTCGGTACAGTACTGTTTTTGGAAAGCCTGCCTTGCGCTCACCGCAACAATCAAAGTCAACTTGATGCACTATGCAGTAGTGGTGAAAGTGTGCATCGCCGTCGGTTATTTGTAATCTCATTTAGGCAGGAATAGACACGGAGTAATGCATGTGACACTCTAACATCCCAATGAGATTTTTCACATTGAAAAGCATGACGTTACTCGGCTCGATTGCGTCAAAAACCTCAACGACGTTGGCGGGAAATAAGGCACATTATCCCTGTTCATCATGTTAAGTTCACGCGCTTTTGCTTATCTTGAATATTTAACGTAACTGTCAAGCCCGTGTCTATCTGCAATGATGATTGCGAAAATTCAGTTATGGACTATAACCTAATACAATGATCAAGGGCAGCCCTTCACAACCACATCTGTAAACGGTGTTTCTTATCTTGGTCATTTACAGTAAACGCTATTCTAGTGTGCGAAGCGGTAGTAAGATCCTAAAATTCAAGGATCTTATGAGCCTTCACACGTGTACCCAGGAAAGTAGCCGTCACAAATACCAACTGAGTAGACGGCTTCTTGATGTCAAATCTGATCCCCTCGAGCGCTAAATCCTGGCTTAACCCTATTCTTGCTTCCCGATAGTTATAACCTGTTGCTTGATAGGAGCAACTGTTCCGTCGTCACAATATCATGTAAACATCTCATTCGTCAGCATCAAAAAAAATAAACTAGGGGAATCTTTCTTTTTTTCGGTACTTGCCTCTGTAAACAACCATTTCGTGTCCTCATTATCCGTTTAAATCCAAAAAAACTTTCGCATCTTAGAAACATATAACACGTTGAAAACAGGTCGCCCTTTCAGACTACACTGAGGCTCTTCTCCGTATCTCACATGTGCATTCATCACCGTTCACGCCGAAGTAGCCTCACTCATTTCCACTTACACGACCTGGTCCAAGCTATCCGAGTACTGGGCAAAAAAGACAGCCAATACTGATGCCATCGCCCCAGACTATGATGATCTGACCGAAGAATGCAATAGTATTCCACCTAGTTACTCTGGGAAAATATCCTTTATCCCGCATCGAAGCAACATACGTCACCACAATTCCACATATCTCGTTTTTGCCCTTTAAGCGGTCGATAGATCCTAATGTCTATGATCCATTTTCTCAACACGCCTTGCCCACACATATTTGTCCTATTCGATAGGCCTTTCCGTTGGCTACCCACCCATTTACCAGCTACTTCCGCACCGTGTTCGCCTCGTCCGCACTTCCTGGGGCCGCATCTACACGAACACCCTCAAGTAAAGGTCTGTTTCTGAGAGCGCCTAGCACAAGTCATTGTAATTTTTCCATGCCCATCTCCACTGCCTTTATCCTCCCCTACCTTTGGCCTTAAGTTTCTGTGCTTAGACGATTTACATCTTGTTTCTTCAAGTCGGCTCACATTTTTGGGTCACTGTTTAACTTCTGATGTTATTCTTTACCAAGGTCCAGCATAAACCAAAACGAAGCAATAGTTAATCGCTTTTGAGAGCTACGCCACATCCTCTGATAACGCGCAGTGCACGCACCTCAAATATTAGGTTCATATATACTCATTTATTGTAATCCTTGCTTACTTCCACAGTCGATTCATTCACACACACGTTCTGATGTGCCGCTTCCTGAGTGGCGGCTCACACCGAAGCTCCGTCACCTTTTAGCTGTAGGGCACACCTTTTGAACCTTTTTATTCCACTTAAATGGCCCACATAGTAATTTTCGCTCATGTGCATCCATGACCTGCTTTTCCCAATGGCTGGTTGCTTGTTTCAAATGAGTAACCTGTTTATCGGGCCCGACTTTCCCCGTTCGACTGGATAGAATATCCGGTAGCTGGGGTACTGCACCAATGCACAAGCCGCAATTATAATTGCTTGGTTGCATGCAGGTTTGCTAGCATGCACGAGGGATCAAAATCTCGTGTGGACATCGGGTACGCTCTGCAAGGACCGCCGCCTTGTTACGATACACTATGGTGCGTATTTTTATCCACCACCTCTTTGGTGGTATGGGCAGATCGCACATTACCGGTGGTTATAATCCTGGTCCCTAATTCAGAAATCCATAAAGGATCACTTTTGTTTCTGTCAAGAGTCCGGTTTGTAGTTGTCCCGGTTGCCATTCATCCCGCGGTGCTATAAAACACAACCGAAGGATAACTGTCTTTTCGTTTAACACTGAAACGCGTGGGGCAGCGCGAAGATACTTTGCGATTCTCACGGTTAACGATGAATTGCGATGTTTCTGTCACCTTCTTCGTTGGCTCACGGCGACGTTTCTGTCACCTTCTTCGTTAGGGTTGCACCACATGAAGTCCACTTCGTCGGCCAGACATGCACACGCCCTCCGCTCTCCGGTCTCATACCCATAAAATACAAAGACCTTAGCATCACCGAATAACGGCGAGCACATTCAGTGTCTGTTGGCTATTTTCGCCAAACAATACTCGTTGCTTGGAGCAGACAACAGTGATCCCGTGAATAGCGAACTGTTATCTTTTCTTCCTGTTCAGATTACGTATTAGCTTTCTGTTAAACTACAGTCCCTAACGATTATCTCGGTTGAACCCACCCAGCCAATAATCACCCGTCAGCGGTTTCTCTTCAGGTTTCCCCCTTGCACAACAGAGACCCTCTTGTTGGATTCTGTAATCATGCCAAAATCTGCTACCGCACCCTATCTGTCTCAGCATGTATTCGCCCATACCAACTAGCCCCATGGTTGGCTTTCCTGTTCACTACCTCGTCAGGTAAGTCCTCACCTTCCCAAAATTACGCAGCTGCCATCACCCTTAATTCAAGAGTGCTGATCAACCGACGCTCAGTGCAAGGCAATACGGACGAATGATAGTAGGAATCTCCCAATTCTCGTTGTACAACGAAACTGCAGATACTCGCTTGAGTCGCTGTTCGATTGGAGTCGGTGCTAACGCACAAGACGGAAGACGAACCACACAGAAAACGGCTGATTTTCTAAGGAGTGCAGAAAGAGATTCAGCAAGATGTTAAAATCTAAATGAAAGTTTCAGCAGATTACAATGAATGCTTCACGAAGACGACCGGGGCCATGTGCATGGTATGTTCTCAATTAAAGATGAAGAAGCGGAAGTAGGAAGTGAACTGTTGCGGGCATGTTATCCAACTGGACATGGAAGTGCATCGCCGTTGCTGCACTAAGACGCTTCGGTTTTTAGACATCTCCGTAGGTGAGGCAGTTTGGCTTGGATTGCAATTCCGTAAGCAGCGGAGTTTGCCAGGAAATTCCACAGAGAGAACAAAACCAGTGTAATAACGCAGATAGTGTTTGTTTTTTGCTAGGTCGTTAATCCCTCCAGGCCTAACGTACAAATCGGGTGTGGTGGATAACGATCAAACAGAACGTTCACAGCACGTACTGCCGCAGGCCAAAGTTTGAGAGTGAGATGGAATGGGGTAAGATCAATAATACCTGGGGATGTATGGGGGTCATCAAATAGGATAGTCTTTTACTGGAAAAAAACTGAATGTTTGCCCCAAAATAGCGACTAAAAATGATTGAACAAGACGGAATAAGAATGGATATGAGTTCAATCTATCCATCAAGATCAAGCTATGATTGCCGGTATATGCTATTATACCACTTGAGGTGGAATAGTTCGATGTAAGTAGGCAGAGGGGCGGTGGCAAGGGGGAACAAACACAAGGACCGGCGGCAGTGGGAAGTAGGCGAAGGTGGACTATTTTTCATGGAGGCTTTTGGTGAACTGGGCAACACTAAGACAATCTAGGGGGAAGGTGAAACTAAGGTCCCCAGTCCTTAAAGCCCTACTGTCAGCTTTATTCTATAAGTGGTGCACGGCAAAGAAGACTTCCGAAGCTAGAGTCACACGCTGGTAGGGAGAGTTTGGCATATGTATTTAAGCATAATGTGTCCACTTCTGGGAGCAGTGAGTTTCAGTTTGGTTGACGAGATGGGTTTGAGGCTTCGCCTCGGACCCACACTCAACATTCATCTGAAACCGCGGTTTGGAGGAAGGATAGTTGTAAGATCCGGACGGTTAAGGATCTCACAGGACGAGTGCGACTATTAGATTATACGCAGTTCGTAGGCAGTAGTCAATAGGAGCAGACAGACGTGGGGCAGTAGATGATATATTGAAGATTGACAGGGACTGGTTCTACAGAAAAACGGATTAGTAAGCATCATGAATTAAGAAAACGTACAATCAACAATGACGCAATCTGCGGGAGCGGGAAGTAGTCACTG